CAAAGTATCTTTTCTACCAAAAGAGAGGCTTCTACTATATAAAGCATAGGCTTTTGCCTTAAATTTGATAATAGCAAAGGTAGAAAAAATGGCTCAGGCTCGTATTTACTTCAAAGGTTGTTTGAGGTTTAGTGCAGTTTTAAGTCAATAATAGTTCAAACCTGAACTCAAACCATTTAGGCGAAAATGGCACTGCTTTTACCCCCACTGTGTATATTGACAATATACTTTTCTGCTTACAAGGGATGGGCTGTTAAAGATTAAATATCATTATGCAGTTTGGCTTGCTTTTATTCAAAAGGCCAAYGGACAAAATGTAAACATTTAAAATGATTTCTGCTTTGAATGGCTGCTGTAGTTCATGGCTGGTTATCTCCTGTTTCAAAGACTTCCGGCATTGAGGAAAACAGCTTTTCTAAAAGCTGCTGGCAGTTCTGGTATGACTCCTTCTGGTCTCCTGCACTTTTTCCTGTTCATTTCTTTTTTACGTTTTAAGAAAACACTTTGGATTTTCCTGCAATCTTTGATATCAGGAGATATGAGCAGAAACACAGACTTGKGTATCTAATTGTGCACTTGGCCTTATCTTTGTCTGCAAGGCTGATGTTTACCTTTGAAAAGGAAATTATTATTTTTGAACAATTATAGCCTCCAAGCTTTCATCATGTCTCTCTAATCTGTAGTGCTGTGCTTCTATCGCACTGTCAGATGCTTAGTTAAGTTTTAGGAAGATAATGTCCTTTACAAAACAGAAAAAAAAGGTGGGTTTTTTTTTTTTTTTAATAAGGAAGTTCTTTTTAACAATAATTTGAGCTGATCAAAATGGTATTGACAAACTGCTCTTCCAAATTCAGTAAGGATAAAACTAAGATACTGCAGTAGGCAGGAATGAGCAGTTATAGGAAGAGTGAAAGGGGTCAAGTTCTTTAGGTTGAAGACTGCTCCATAGTGGACAATGATTGTTTTAAAAAAGCCAAGCTTTAYACTGGGTTTGTATGAACAGGAGAATCGACTGCAAACTACAGAAGGAAAGTCTTCCAGTCTACTGAGGAATGGTAGGTGTGGAGCAGGAGCTGACAGCATCTCTCTCCAAAGAACCTAAATGAAAATAATCAGTGATTTAGGAAGTGCAGCCTGTGAAGAACGAAAGAAAGAGGTTTTGCTTTTTGACTTAAGCAAGGCAGTCTGGGGAKGCAGGAGTGAAACAGGCATGATGATAAGCTCTGGATATAGGTATGTGCAGATATAAATAGTTACCCAGCAGAGAAATAAAAATTAATCAATTCTCCTTGAGCAAGGTGAACACAACTCTTCAGCTGCAAAATATTCAGGCTAGACCAGAAGAAAAACTTTTCTAACAGCAGAAATTATTGAGCAATGGATTAAATGGGCAAGACTGTGCAGTATTCCTTTGTGGAGGCCTTTTTTGGCAGATTTAATCTAGTGAGTTCTCACTCCTTCAAATGAATGCTCTTACCTATGCCCAGTGTRGAGCAAAGCAATGCACGTGCAGCTGTAGCTTTAGAGATGAGCCTTGAACCTCATTTTAAGATCCAAAAGAAGATTTTCAACAGACTGTTTTCTGAAACAAAACTTCTAATAAAGGTTAACTGWTGAAAAAAGGAAATATTGATTAATATCATCACTTTAAAGAATGTAATAGCATGAAAASCTAGAATAATGATGATGTGAGAATAGAGAACGGGCATATATTTACTTTCAATGTGTTGCTGCAGGAAGGGGCTTAAAAAGTAGTGCCTGAATAAGGTAATGAATTATTTTCTATTGTAACATTGTCATGTGCCTCTGAAGTCTTGCCAGTCAAGCTGTGGTTGTTATAGAATATCTTAAACTAAAAGGATGGCACAATAAATAAAATTTAATCAGTTGTGATATTGTGTTCCTTGATGATGGTGATGCAGCTCTTACCAGCCTTACAATAACTAGCCATGGAAAGTTCATGTTTTCTGATTATTAGTATTGTTTTCTGCTTTCACAAAGTACAAAGTATCTGGTTCAGATGAACAGGATTAACTGTACGCTGAAGTGCTTAGCACAAGTTGGGTCCTTAAATGACCCTTCTGTATTTCCTTTGTCATGGCACTAAACCTGCTGTGCTTCTTGAACTTTATCTGAGTAAGTGCTGCATACTGTATTTATATCAGACACATTTTATTGTTTGCATTTTGGCTTTATGAAATGTCAGAATCAATCTTATACTAATGAAATGTTCAAATTTCATCTCAGCTATGAACATAGCTGCTAATCCTATAAGATGTTTACTTTCTGCCTCTCTGGCTATGTATAGTAACAGAGAGTCTGCCAACTTAAGCACTGCTGACAAACGTCTCCCTACTGCTAGTCAGTCCAATAAATGTTATTTCATTGAGTAAAGATTTAAAATTAATTAATTMAATGTCATTAAAATCCCTTGCAACCTTTGACAAGTTTGCTCTTACTGCAGGCCAGTAAAAGTAGTTACCTCAATAGTGCTTGTGCCCCTGAATCCCACCCAATTTGGTAATTTTTATGTTTTAATCTTAGARTTGAACTTTAATCATTGTGGAACATAACTTTTAATAGTTATAGCTATGTTTTAGGTGGAAATGTTGAGGGAGAAAGTGCAGAGAAAGGTAAGTTGTTTCAAGAGATGCAAAACAGAGGGAAAAGGTAAGCCAAAGGGCACTGACCAGAGTCCTATTTTCCAGCAAATCATACAGGATGTAGCTACCMATCTCCCAAGCCTTTCTGTAAAACYTCTCCTATGTCACCCTCAAAGKGAGAGCTGTAWAGTTCTCAGCATAAAATCTCAGGCTGCATTCCTTGTTGAAGGCTGTGGYCACTTCACAGCACTGTCCAGAGTGTGGGTGTTGTTTGTATATGTAGGGACATTTTTTACATTTAGTTTCTGAGCTTCAGGCCCCAATTTTCCACATCCACGGGCTCTGAGTAGCTCTTGGCACCTAGGCAAACACTATCAGAAGCCTGCTCAGGCAGAATTTATTTGCACTGGCATAGTGCCTGAGGAATTACCCAGGAATAGGGCCCTGGCTGGGCTGACCACCATAGAARAAAGGTCTCGACAAATGTTTCTCAGACTTCTGATGCCCAGGGAATGCTTTGTTTGGATGGGAATTGCAAGGGAGATGGCAGATGTAGCCAAGCAGGCCTTACCCTGTGCAGCTCTCCTATGAATGGTCATTAGACCTGTGACACAACACAACCCTTTGCTGGCCTCCTGGGGCTCTGAGTCCTGCTGGGTTCTTTGAGGAGGGATGAACAGGCAGAGCACACAACTGTCGTGCAGAATTTCCCCTGCAAGCCATTTAGGAGCCACTGAACTTCAGCTGGCCTGCATCCCCCACACCACGGAGCAAACTGATGAGGAAGAGGATGCAACAATCACAGGAACATTGTGGGAATATAATCTGGCACCTCACTTGTTCTGCAGATGTGCACAAGAGTTCAGCAGCCTCTGCATGGTTTGGTGCCTTTGGCTGGTGCTGCACAGCTATTGACTGTGAGGAGAGTTACTGTCAGATGCTTTCCATCAAAGCGTTACTGCCCCTCACAGTCCTACTGATGGACAGCAATCAGCCAGGAATTAGGTGATTTTGGCAGTTTAGGACCAGATCTTACAGAAGTATAATTACATGAAACCTGGGTGTGTGATCTGTTTCCACTTGTTTAGGCAGTGACACTCATGCAGCCAAGGAAGTACATATAGGTTTMATTTTCTTGGATTTAAAGATCTTTGTCTCAGAAATAAACACCTGGTATGGYCAGTGGAGACCCTGTTGATCCACCTTCCTCAAAGTGAGCAGTATTCACAGTATTTGTGTCTTCCTTGTTCCAGGGTGAAGAAGGAAGCGTCACTTTTCTAAGTGACCTGCCTTGTGTGTTCAGAAATAGGAGCTAGATTAAAAAAATGTAAATGAGATTTATTCATAGTGCATATAATTATCAAACCCCATGAATAACAGCAACCCAATGGGCCTGTATTCTTGTGAATAAGCTGTGTTTTCTTCTTGTTTGTCCTCGTTGGATTCTCACCCTTGTTGAGATTGCCGGAGTTTCYGCATCCTTTAAAGTGTCTTATTTTGGTATCCATGAAGGATTTATCATCAAATCCATGTCAAAGCAAGTCAGAGAAGTGCTAATTAAATAAATGATGTTTCCTAGGGTGACATGGGATCAAATATACCTTTCTGCTGTGCAGGACTCACAATGATCCTTAAGCACCCCATAGACTTATGAACTCACACCTCAGGAAGTCTCAGGCAGAAAGGTGTCATCTCTCAATGCTTGACTGAGATCCATTTTCTGTTTAGTATTTTTAACCTTCTTCTGTTTAGTTCCTGCTCTGCCACTTAATGTAATGCCTGTTTATTGCAGACTGCTTTTAGTTTGGTCCTTTTAAAAGCTCCCTGAGGCACGATGATGCCTAGAAATTAATGTATTCCCTTCCCGCACATCCAGCAGATGTGTGTATATTGAGTTAGTGTCTCTAGTGTTTAGCTAATTTCTCTTCAGAGCATAGTTGAATCACTGCTACATACCAAACCCATTTGTGGCCTTTCCTCTAACTACTGGGAGAGGTAGATTTATGTAAATAATATTTTTAGCTTTAACTGCAAATCTGTGACTTGCAGGTTCTTATAAAATCCCTAAACATACCCCCATTGGGCAGCACAGCTCCTGGTGCTGCACATGTCTGGATTTACCAGGACTGTGAGTAAGGCAGCCTTTGCATCCCAAGATCTTGAAATGGTTTTCTTTGTCATCTTTGCCCACCCACCTTTTTCTTACTGGTTGGAATAGCAGTCATCTTTGAAGAGATTACTGCTGGTTGAAAAGCTGAGACTTTGGTTAACGTGCTAGGTAAAAGCATCCTTACAGATATCTTAAGCATGACTTCCTGGAACCCTCTCCCCCAGCCCCTCATGGCAGACCAAGTACCCTTCCCACTGCCCTAAAAAGACTCAGCTGTTCAAGTAAAATCTTTTWAAAAATATAGGTTTATTTTAAGCATGTTTTTTACCAGGAGAGGCACAATTATAAACAGAGAAAGATCAAACATAGCAATGAGCTTGTGGCCAGACAATGCAAGCAATAACTTAGAGGCAGAGGTTATCATTTCACATATGAAAACCTGCTGWAAGTTGGTTATTATTGGTACTAGACAGTCTAGGCTCTGCTCATCTCAGTTTGAATTTGAAAATATATTCTTATTTCATCCCTTCCAAGCTTTTAAGTATTTGCCTAAGTATCTACATATTTTAAATAATGCATAAAGTGCATAAAGAAGGATGGAAAAAGGTAAAGGCCCAATTTCCAGTGCACTAGACAGGACTGAGACAAAACATTCCAATCATTGACTAGAAAGAGCTTGGTTTTGAACCAAACCCCATGAACACACTGAGTAATGGCACAGTAATGCAAACATGGTTTCTAGGAGACAACTTTAGAGTAGATACTAAGTACTAGAACCATGGCTTGACAGCATATTTGCCTTAYGAGCTTTGCAGAGCAAGGTCACATTCCTCTATTGACAATTGCAAGAATAAAAAATACACTGAAGTTTGAAATGCTCCTCCTAATGTGATCCTGAACAGTTGTTACTGTAAGCAACAYTGTATTTATTTTGAAATAGTCCATTAATTCTTGGGTCTTACTGTCTGCACTTTCCCCTAGACTGTAAGCTGCTATCTTGGAATTCCAATTAGTTTTTTGTTGTTAGAAGTGCAGCCATTTCCATCTGTCACCAGCCTTTAGGCCTAAAGTGGTTTCTGTTAACATCAGTGAACAAGCATATTCAGAAACTCAGGCTTTCTGGTTTGTATGTAGTTAAGGSAAATCTAAGGACGGCCAAAAACCACCATCTTCAACTCTCAGCTTCCTGTAACTCATTTCTGTGTCTCAGAAACTTGAGAATAGCTAAGTGATATTGCAAAATATAAATGCCACACCAGCATAACTTTTCTCCCTCAAGYCATGTTGGGGATGTAGAGAAATTGAGCAGCACCAAAATTCCACTTGTTTTTAGACAAGTGGACTCCTCAGTCTCCATTCTGAGAGGTGAGTGCAGTGCTGGAGCCTCCTACCCCTCTTACTTACCCGTTACTTTAATGGAAGCAAGAACTTGGAAGACACAGAACAACACTCCCAGATACTGACATTAAGGATTGAACAATGGTTTTTCCTTTACAATCGAACAGGACTAACTCCTCTGATACAAAAAGAACAGAAAAAAGGGAACTCTTAAAAAAATTTGTAACTTCCATCTCTATTTTACATCAGTTGTGCTTATGAACAGATGAACAGCTAGGGAAAAAACCCTATGGAATTCAAGAGCTGAATTATTAAAATCTTCTCAGTCATCCTTTTTGTCAGAGGTACTTGAGTTATCCTCTTCACAGCCTTCAGGACAGACTTTATTTCTTGCAAGTGGTGTTGTTTCTGAGACCGAGGTTGTGCTCCTCACTGGGCTGTGCTTGCTTTTGGGTGGCTCAATGTCATGCCCYTCCAACATACCTGACTGGTTTCTCTGTAGATCTAGGTATGTAGTAAACAACGAGGCATATTCTGGATGCTTGAGTGCAAAGTTCTTGAACTCCTCTGAAAAACATTAAAAATCAGATACTGTAGTGCAGCAACAGAATCAAATAAAATTTCAGTGCCTGCTTCTTTTACTGAAGCTGATCTCCAGTTAGCTTCCTCTAAAATATCTGAGTATCACACAAAGTATCTAGGTTCATGCTTGAATGGTTCTTCCCAGAAACAAGGTATGAGAATCATCAGGTAATTTCAGGGAATTAAAAAAGCAAACTTCATGTMAATATAGCTATCAGAGCATTCTTTCTAATAAAAGGATGTAACTTACCATAGGAGAGCTTTCCAGTTTCATCTGCATCTATTTCTTGAAAGAGCAGAGAAACATCAAGCTCAGGAAGTCCCAGTGCTGACTGAACAATAGAAGCAAACTCATCTTCTGTTATGGTGCCATCGTCATCCATGTCAAAGAGCTGGAAAACACAGAATGGGTAGAAATACTTCAGCATCATTTTGCCAAACCCTCTGTGAATCCTCTGTGCACATCAGCCATTCACAGTGGTTTTCCAGCATGCAGGAGGTCTGTAAACAATGCCTGAGATTTGAAGAGCCTGGCTGCATCTCAGCTACTTTCTCTTGCAAAAGAATTTATGTATTTTCCCTGGAGTAAGACTGAACAGACACTTAGCAGAACAATGTCCACGCTACAGCTGGGAATACAACATTCTAATCTATTCTATTCTACAAAACAAACAAGCACCGGTTCAGTGATAAAAATATTACAAAACCGATAAAACATAAACAAAAGTTTATGTTTAATGTCATCATGAGTTATGCTAAGGTCTGCTGTATCCAGCCAGTCTATACTGGAACATCTTAAGTTTTAGTCTCCGTTTTCATTCAGTAATGGCACATCTGCTATCAGATCCAGCTTCCTATCATAGTTTATGCTCTGACATTGAACACCTAAATTTTAGTGTATGTGATTGGTCACCACTAAGGAATTATTGTAATTAATAAGGACTTTTGTTCCTGGAATGCAGGCAGTAGATGTACACTGATCATCCCATCCTTCCCAATGCAGTGACAGTAACCATCTGCTATGAATCACCCCTGGAGAAACACWAGGGATGGATAGCTGTAATTCTTAAATACTTGCTACAGGCAAACTTTGCCATTGTGAAAAGACATTTAGTGGCAAAGAAAACAAGTAGCAAAAGGAAACCCAYGGATCCATTTTAGACTGAAATAGGCTTTTACCAGTTGAACCAGTTACTTTGTGCTGAAATGGGAAATTAAAACAAATCACTGATTTTATAATCAGCACACCTGTTAAGACACTGAAGAGTATAGTCTAGGAAACAACAGAATGGAACAGCAAAAATAGCTASTAGGCTTGCTTCTTCATAGGAATCKGTACTGATAAAACATTCCTAAAAARRCACARATTACCCTGAACTTAGTAGTGCTTATCTGAAAAGAAGCCAGTRGATATAATGGATTGCCCCAAAATCTCTGGTACCTTCCAATAATGCATCAGTACCAAGAAGCACCCAGTTTACAAAGAACATGAGCTGTATCTCAATATATTGTTCAATAGAATTCATAGAATCAGATTATTGGGTAAAACAACTCGATCTGTGTCAAAGAGCTATTAAAAAAAGACTCCAGGATTCGTAACATGAGCATCCCTGGTCATGTACTGCCTTCTTACACCTGAGAGGTGAAAGGAGCTGCTTAGAACACCACAGTACAAGCCAGCAGTTCTTAGATGCAGCCCAATTTTGAATGTGCCAGTCCCAAATAGTCCTTGGTTTTTTCCCCCCTTCCCTTTGTTAAGAACAATGACTCTAGTGAGGCTTGACCCACAAGAGGATATTACTCCATCTATTGTGACACTGAAGAATCACAGCAGAAAAAAACCTCAGGCAAAAAAACCGCRAGTGCTGCTGAATCATTTTTGGAGTTATCCTGCCAAGTTACATATTCATTAGTGCCTTCAGATGGCTTTTGAAACCCTTCTCTACGATGCCTGCAATTCCTCCCCTCCCTTTCACACTCTAAATGTCAATTGGTTTAAGAGAATTACGCACATTTGCATAACAGATTGAAGCTATAAACTTATGATTTGAAAGCTAACAGACTTAGAGTCAGTCTTGATTTGTCAGGTTTGTAGATTTACGCTAAATTGAACTTACCTTAAATGCCATGCGAATAGTCTCCTCTGTGTTGGCTGGGTTACAAAGAACAGACAAACCAATTACATACTCTCGGAAGTCGATGGTGCCATCTCCATTCTGTAACCCAAACATGCATGGCAGGAGTTAAGAGTTAATACTGCAAATCACTTTAAGAGCTATTCTGCAAATCAAACACACAACATGCACTAAGACAGTTTMTAATACTAGAGGTTTTTGTTCTTCCTGGAAAAATCCTAACAGCTCACTAAATATGTAATACTAAGCTGGAGTAGCAATATACGTATTTTCAGTAGCTACAATCTAAGTATCAATTTCTATTTTATAAACAACCAAAACACAAACAAAAAAGATTTAAAACAACTTAAAAGTTTTTTCTTTAGAACATGGCCTTCAGGAAGGCTCTAAYAACTGAAATCCACGTGTTTGAGGTTACTGTAGGAGTGCACACAGCACTGGCCCTTGCTGAAGTTCAGAGACTAATGCAACAGCCCAGAATAAACAGGCCAAGAGTGAGGCTGTTGCTTTGAGTTTGAACCTTCAGCAGTAAAATACAATTCAGTGTAAGGATAACCAAATCTACTTGGTTTATYTTCAGCTTTCCTTTGAAGCCAATGCAATGCCCTACATGCCATTTGGAAGCCAATGCACTGTCCTACCTTTTAAGCCAGAAAGGCAAGGAATTCATTGAACAGCTTTTGTAATAATTCCAGTTTAGATTTGAACAAACATTTCAATGTGTTAACATCAACAAAACATCTGAAGCTTGCTTTGATGGGATTTGTGATTAATTCTGTGTAAGCTGCATTATATTTTCACATAGGGAGAAAGACAGATGCCTGATGATCTATGCTTATGTCAGTAGTGTTTCTGTCACCACACTGAAAGTTTCTTGAGTGTTTTGGGAAACCTCTGTCTGAGCAAAAGCCATCTGCAAGTCTTAGGTGGTGGGACACAGCAGTTAATGMCAGCATAATAGAGATGACAAGCAGTTCATTGTTTTGAATATTTATAATAATGGAATCAAAYATGTTTTAAAAGCAAACTGAAGTGTAAAGCAGAGTTCCCTTTGTGGATAATGTGTTGTGCATTTCAAGAAGAAAAACATTTTCATTAGAAGTGGAGTCCCTACATCTGAGAACAGCACAAAACTTTTTCAGCCAAGTGAGAGAGGGGTGGTCTCCTGGGTAAATCTTCAGCAAAGAGCCAGACCAGGATTCTATTTCTGTCTCTCCTACCAACTTCTAACGCTCACTTGAGCATACCATCCTTAACCTTTCTGCTCTTGGTTTTCCGCTGCTGAACAGTGCAATACACCCGGGAGAATACTACAGCTGCTCTGTAGAGTGCTTTGAAAATTGTGGGTGCTATGAAACAGGAATTTTAGTTATTGAATTTAGGTATAGAATATGTAGAATATGAAGAATATGTATCACAGGAAATGAACTGGGAAGTAAACTTTAAAATAATCTAATTAAAAACAACTTCTGGAAGAAGTTAACACAGCTATGRCTGCACATGGAAATATGGCAAGAAAAAAGACAAAATAAGGGTCATATTACTTTCATTAAAGTGCTAAATCTCAGTAATCAAAACTGAGTGCAGTCTATAGACAGAACTCCAGCCATTTTAGTAGGAAATAAAGTTACTGTGCTTACAAGAGCATGTTCTGACTAGTTCTACTAAACTCTAGGATGCTGGCTAACTTCCAAAAGCTCTGGCATTTTGGTTAAGGAGAAATGATGGAGTTGCTGCCTGGAAAAAGTTATAGGAGTTAAACTGAAAATGCAGGAAAACCTTCAATGCTTGTGTAACAGCACAGGAAAAAGCACTTAAAATTGTCTTTCTACGCATCTTTAACTGTGTTTGCAGCTGATGTACCCAAGAAAATTTTAAGGAAGTAATTTGTGAGCTGAGCTCCAGTTCTCTAAATGGCAAAGTAGAACATCAGAATTTAGGCATTTGCAGTTATGCTATAACAATCAAAACATAGTGAAACCTTAACAATTCTTGTTTTCTTTAAGGAAGTCAGCTTTCTGCTACTATTTTCACTGTGGCATGCTATGGTAACTGGGGTTTTGTTGCTGGTTTCTTTTATATAATACAGTAAATCCTAGACTTTGGAAAACAAGAAAGTTGCATTGTCATAAGCATTCTCCATGTAGTTCTGCAGAGGGACTGCAAGCCAGATACAGTATAAAGTACTACTGCATTGATACTTTTGAAGAGGTGTCACACTTTACCCCCTGCTCTCTCTTCTATTACTCAGAGCACAAATGGCACTGCATGGCACAATGGATAACTGCAAGCTTTTCCACTGAAGAACTGGGAGGAGGCTGAATGCCATTAGGAAGGAACTGCCCTCTTTCATCCGGGACAATACAAATGTTTTTCTATTACACAGCTTGCGACTAAAAGTGCAGGAGGAAAAAGTTTGGGCAAAAATTGTAAGTTTCAAGTAAAAGGTTTCTGCAAGTATAGCAGGGAGGATATCTCATCAATTTGGAAAATAATGTTTGTCAAGAGTAAGTGCAAGACTTAAAAATCAAAGCTGTGGAAATTTACAGACCAAACCAAACCAYAGCACCCCATTAACACACAGATGGCCTGCAGGTATTGTGTGGTATTTCTCAATGAGTCACTGCTGTGTCCCTGGGGAAGGGCAGGGGCATGTGCACTCTCACATCTGCCTCTAGTGCCGGGCTGCCTATTTAACTCATCTTTTCACATCCCAGCCAGCTAGCACAAACCTGGGATGATTTTCTTTTAAAGCAGCAGAGCCTTGCCAAGAAATCTGCCTTGTGCAAGAGCTGTTTTGATCAACAATGTAATCCTTAATTCAAAGAAATTTACCTTTGACAGTTCATGTTATTCCTTCTTTTTTTTTTTTTTTCTCAAAAGTTGACATCTTAGCCAGAACTGCATAACTTGCTTGAGTGGGATGCTGCACTCTGATGAAATTTAACTCAGCCAGAGGTTGATTTTGGCTGTCTGTCTGCTATGTGACGGCATAATTATTTCAAGTTTCTCTAAATATAAAGGTAGTATTTTAAGTTGCTTGCTTATAACTATACTTAGGCTTGAAGGAAAGAGAGTGAAGTCTAGTTCATAGAACTGTAAGAAGGACAAAATCATTGCAAAAGTAGCCTCACATAGGGCTTCCATTTTGTCCCAGTCAGCAGATAGAACTCACAGTACCACTTAGGTTTTGCTTCAGCAGCCAAGCATGAAAAGGAAGAAGTAGAAAGAAAATTAAATGATTAGGAAAATTCACTAATCGTTACAGTTATTGCAACCCTAATGTTTTTCCCCTTGTTAGAAATAACTGCACAACACTCTTGCCTTCAGGCAAACAGCCCTTTATTCTGGCTTAGTGACTGCTGACAATCAGAACAGCAAAACCAGCACGAAACTTAGGAGTTTTTGATATAGTAGTTATATATAAACCACTTTACATGAAAGAATAACTAACCTTTGATCTTTCCAATACATCCCCCAAACCCTAGAGTCAGTTTTCTGTGACAGAGTTATGCAACCTCCCCAACAACAACCTAGACAAACCCTTCAGAAAAGCAGACCAGTGCATGCACAAGAGGAATCACTACATTTGAAGCTGAGCCATCTACCACCAGCTACATCTGCCTTAGAACAAGGAAAAGACTACAGTCCCATAACGCAGGATTGCAGTCTTCCATGTTTGTCTTCCAGATGAAGCTTCTTCTTTGTCATGCCCTCACGAATACATGGTCAGCTGCAGCCAGTCTTCCATGGTCACTTTGATGCGCCCACTTCCATCTTGGTCCAGGGACTTGAAGGCCCGGAACATGCTGTCCAGCCGGACCAGGCAGCTGATGAAGCTGTTGAAATCCATGCTGCCGTCCTCGGCGGCGTATCTGCGCACGATCACCTGGCAGAGCTGCTCGTTCAGGTGGAACCCCGCAGCCTTCAAGGCGTTTGGCAGCTGAGCTCTCCCAACAGTGCCTGACTGATCAGTATCATGCTGCTTGTACACACACTGCCACTTCTTCACGTTGTTCCACAGATACTTGAACTCCTCAAAGCCCAGTTTGCCACTTGCATCGCTGTCCATCACAGCGACCATGCTACGGCAGGTGTCCAAGCTGAAGCCATCCGTCTTCAAGTCTTGGTGTCTGGAAAGGACTTTGTTCAGGATGTCCCTTAGCTCTGTGGCACACACTTCCATATCATCTCCAGCCAGYTGGGCAAACAGGCGACGGAATTGTCTGATCTCTTCACTCTCATGAGCTTCTGCATTTGTAAAATGATTGCGAGGAGGTGGAGGTGGCTCTGGATTATACTGAGCTGCTGCTTCACTTATAAAGTTGACAAGACCTCCAACGAGTCCTCCAATATTCCCTCCACCTCCACCTCCTGTTAGGAGACCTCCAAGGCCACGTGCAAGGCTCCCTCCACGACCACTACCACTTCCTCCGCTCAGCAAAGCTTTGGCGAGGAACATTGTGAAGATTTTTTGAAGGGAGTTACTCAGAGATCCAGTGCTTCTGTAGCTCTCTGAAGCTGTTTTGCGTCTGACTTGGGTGTGGGAAATACACAGTTTATCTGCATGCTTAGACTTCACCACGTCTGTGCACGTCTCTGGCTGCCAGAGCCAAGCCTCCCTAGTTTCTGTCAGGTGTTGATACACCTTCATTTCCTTTCTTCTTTGCATAGTTATGCTTATGTGATTTGACGAATCATTTTAGAGAAACAAATAGTGAGGTTCAAAGCCACAAAGCGTAAGTCTCAAAATGCCTGTGCCCATACCTGAAGCAATTTGAAAAGAGCCCTGTTACATGAGCGTGGCTGTTCCTCAGTTGCACTGATCTCCTTTAAGGTGAATGCAGTCTTGAACGTGTTTGTTTTACAATCTTCTATTCCCTCATATTTTTAGTGAATTGAGCATGATTTTGCTAGTTCTACTCACTGATATTGTGACAGATAAAGGAAGTGAAAGGAGTCTTGGCTGGCCCTTAATTAGTCTAGTTGCCACAGCACATTTCTGATGTATGTACTGTGCTTCAGGACTCAGACTGCCTGCCACAGGAGCCAATGGCCCACGGTGGGGAGGCAGGAATGACAAAAGGATGAGTACCTAGCTCTGCCAGAGCTTCAGAACAGTCAGCAGTTCAGGAAATACATTTGACCCTTTCCCTATTTTAGAGCTTGTAAAAACTTTTTATCTAGAAAAATCCTAAACCAGTTTTCATCAGCATATGCATGGCAATGACTCCCAAGGACAGGTGTACTGCTAGGGCTAATTAATTAGGAAGAGTGGTGCTGAGTTCGGAAAGCTCTTACGGTGAAAGAAAAACCTACAGTCCAAACAGGCTGCATGCACTGCAGCACATGCTGGAGGCCTAGAAGTAAAACAAATTCTATCTCTGCTCTAGCCACTGATGCTTCTGGTATAGTCAGAAAGGCAGCCACAGAACAATTTCATCCTCAGAAAGAAATAGACAATTGGAGAGATTAGCATTGACTAGTGGGGAAAGTCTAAATGATCATATTAATGCACAGTCCCCTTTATGGTTGGAGAGAAACAGGAGTCCCTGTAAAGTTGAACAACACCCTTCACATATACAACAGGAACACTCCAGGGCTGCAAGTTAACACTGGTTAGCTTCACTCTGCCTTAAATTACCTACTTAATTACAACAGTTAATTAAGTTATTAAAATGCAATAAGCTCAAAATGATAGACAAAAGGAAACATTCAGCTACTAGCAGCATGAAGATTATTGCCTGATATTGGCGCAGTAACTTGGTCTAAGGGATGGCCRTCATCTCACAAGACAGAAACTGATGAATGTTAGGAACAAAACTGTAAGTCACCTACCTTGCCCACAGAAACTATTAACCAAGAAGTGTTTACTAAGCTGGACATAATGAATTATAAGAAATATCCTTTTGGTATGTGATTTCTAGCAAAATATAGTCAACAAAACAGTTAACCAATACTCACCCTGTCAAAAAGTAGAAACAGCTCTTTGAGGACATCTGAAACAGGCAGCTTCAAGTATTCGGCAAACTCCTCAATTCCAATTCTTCCCCCTTTGGAAGCACTTGCAATAGCAGCAAAAGTATCCAACTGCTCTCTGACATGATTCCATTTTAGGCTATGGAAATATGAGGGACAGGAGATATTTCTATACAGCAGTTCTCAGACAGATGGAATTTCAGTAGGAGTTATAACAGTGTTCAAAAACTGCCAAACAGGGCAAGTATCCACATCATTTCTAATGCTGTATACAGAGCAGATATTTTACTTTAAATCAGTAATTAAGGACTGCTCCCCTCTGGTTACTAACAAGCAGTTCTGCACTCGGGTACATCAGACTTCCATAGAGTAACTTCCCAAACCTGGAACTGTCTGCCCAGTTACGAAGCCACTACAGCAGAGAACTTTTCATTACCACAAATTCAGGTGCAGCAACATTTTGCTGCATCATGCTCTAGGGTAAGTATTTCCTTGATAGAGGGAGCAGATCTCAGCTCTGTTAGCAAATTCTCTATCCAAAACCCAATACTGCAACAGTCTCAGAAATATCAGTTCTCTGCAGAAACACACTATGGCACTTTGGTAAGAATAATTAGGAGTGCCATGTAACTATTCCAGATGGAGTTCTATAAATGGATTTACAGCACATAAATAAGAAGTCAAGATTTACTGCACACATTCGGATCTCACCGCAGATAGGTTATTTGATGGAATTACTGTATGGTTACATGGTACATTCCTCAAACTCCAGACACAAAAAGCTGATACATGCAACACATGGCTGCACAAAAAAACTAAGAACAAGCCAGTGGTTGAAGTTTCAGGATGGAAAGAAGGCTTTTTACTTCCTGCCACAAGTTGCCGGTGCCTCACCACTAAATCAATTCAAATTTGCACCAAGATTACCATCAAGTGCTTAGAATAGGTACTGCTCTAGTTGTCTCACCATTTGGTGAGATAATTCATAAAAGATTAGGACAATCTTTCATCTTGCAATGTTGGCCACAAAAATTACTTGGGATTAGTTCTTACTGGGATTCTCCTTGTGTCCAATTTCCTTATAATTTATGTATGTAAATTGTATACATAAACACACTATATTACACATGGCCAAGTCTGTTGTCTGGTAATTTAATCTTTGGCAGGTGGCTGGCAATACGTGCAGCACTTCAGTAATTATGCTAATTACCAACAGATAAACTTCCCTTACTTGAGTTTCTTGCTAATTTTAGTGAACTCCACCAGTCCAGCTTCCATGGGTAAAGTCAACTGTCCTGCTGAAATCATCAGTCTACAGTCTTCATAAGTGTGATCAGTGACTGGCACATTCAAAGCACTGAAATAAAATGAGGGAAAAAGAAAAATCAACTTCTTATATGAAAATTACTTCTTGTTGATTGTTTCCATTCCCTGATACATGCAAAACAAATGGTAATTCATGCTTGCACTGCTGCAAGTAGGACAAAGCAATACACACCATTTTGTGGAACTGTGAAACCACATTGTGAAACTACATTTATGGCAGCATCATGAGCTTTTAAGGTTTACCCTCTTGTAAMTTCAGCCCTGTAACATTGCAGAACAAACCACCCACTTATTCTAGCCAAGCAAAAAGAGATTAGTTTATTCCAGTACTCTATGAATTGAACATACTACGTTCCAATGTAAGACAACCTTCTTCATGCTCCATGTAAAAACAATCAGGGTAATCTAGTAAAGGAATTTGACACCTCCTAGTGAAAAACTAGAGCAATTCCTATATGTAGTATCTGGACTTGACTAAATTGTACTTTATGGCTAGGCTATATGTGGAATTGTTGGATATAAAAGAACAGTTCTCAAAGACTTTACTGATGATTGATCACTTACTTTGCCATGGTCTGTCGGACTCTGTTGGCAAAAAGGACTGGATCATTCTTTTCTTCCTCAGTAGGAACATGAACAGGCAGAAACTGAAAGGGATGAGTTATCTAATCAATAATCAATGAGTTATTCTAATCAATAGTTACCACTTCATTAGGAACACGAGCAATTTCTTATTTTTGTTTGAGGGGGAGCAAACAGGGGAAAAACATCAGCCATGCAATGAATGGACTGGGCGCTAGAGGTCTCAGCTGCCTTAGAAACTTCTAAGGCTCTTCTGCCCTCCCTACACCAAGGAGATTGACTGCAAAACTACCTCAAGGATTGGTAGCAGCTTCTTTAATAAGAAAAATCAACCCCGCAGAGAAGGAAAGTATAATAAATGCATATTGAGTTAGAAGATTAAATGCTGTGCTGGTAAGAATGTGAGTTTGAAATACTCCACGTTTCTTTTCAAAGATCCTTTATAAGTGACATTATATATTGAACTAGTCTATGTGAGAGTTTTAATGTTTTTAAAAACACACTGCAGTCCCACCTTGTACCTGTTAATTGCATCTGTCAGCATGTGACTGCAAAGTTTCCTGAATGTTTCTCCTCCATGATAAAAACATTAAGGAATCATTGTTTTGAGTGGCAAGCAGCACACTAATGAATACATACAATAGTGTAAAATTTTGGAACTCCAAGCAGAGAGTAAAAAATCCCAACAATCCCCTCTCCTTCCACACTTAGAGACCCCAGGTATCTAAATAGCAACATGTTTACTACTGAGGATTTATTCAATTTTAATATGTAAGAAGTTTCACTATAATAGCCTATGGATGAACTATTATCTATTGTGGCATGAACAAAAATCTGTTTGCAAAGTAGCGTGTGTGGAGGAGTACTCTGCTCTTTCTACTTCAGTCCACAATGTCTGCTCACAGCCCTGTTTACTGTGCCTTTTCTCAGTTATGGTTATCATTTATYTGAGTTCTGCTGCTCTGCACCTTGTCCTTAATTCCTAGAACATAACAATTCCAAAATAAGYTGTTGCTCATGGTTCATTAGAAGACAGTTGTTAATTATGTGTCAGTGTGTTTCTTTAGTTATACTGCAGCTGCTGGAGATGCATTATAGTGGTAATTGTCCCATATAAACACAGTTCATCCTGAATAGCCTTTTAATGTTTGTTTTTAAGGAATGCTTTCTCTTTRTTATTGAAACCAAAGAGTTTATGGAATTGGGTTATCTGTCAAATACCCATAACAATTTTCTRTTTATAATTAAAAGATGCCTCCCTGCAAGGACAGGAAGGGTCCAGCTGTTCACATGAGTGTTTGAGATTTCATTCCTTCTGTAAAKAGTTGCCAGCTATGCCCAAGGTCTGAAATAGGTCCCTGGTTATTASAACTTGCCTTCAGAAATCACATAACTCTTATACTGAGAAAGCACAGGCGCACAGCACAGACACAGAAAACTCTTGCTGTCATTGGGTGAGATGAAGTCATAACTCCAGKTTTATCTACGCAAACATGGTCATGGTCTTGACAGTCATTCCATCACTTGAGGTTGAGGTCTTGCTCACAGAGCAACGTAAYCTCCTGGCAGGTTAAACATCACCTTCAACCCCTTCAAAAAACCCATCTATAATTATTTATAAAACCTGTTTGCCAGAAACAACAGCTGGGGAATTTGGTTTCTTGACCTCCTGCGGTGCCAGCATGATCTCACACCCTCAGCTGCTTATCTGCTGGAGAGTGGCAAGCACACCCTCCCAGTCCAWCTCAGTCCTGTAAGAAAAATTCTTCACACCTCTTCCAGCAACAAAATACTTCTCAGATCTGCTTGTGACCTAGTCTCTCTTCTAACACAATTTGCCAAATGCTGTATTTTTTGCAGCCCTAAAACTCACTGCCAGGTTCAGTTTCATGTTCAACGTCCCAGTGTGGCAGAGCTGGACTGCACATGCATCATGGCCCTGGAGCCTGCTCAGCAGGCAGAGGCAGGGCAAGACTGATGGGAGTGGAGAGGCTGCTTGCTCACAGGATGGGACAGCAACACAAATGTCCACTCTGAAAAGGAGTAGCTGGACTCACTGTGATGCTTGTTTCTGAGACATTTATCGTTCACTAAAAGTGACAATAATACATTTATATTAAAGCAGAAATTCCCTGGTTGCTGAGTCTTAGTACAAAAGTATTTCCAATTCTTACCTCAACTTCTACTCTTGTGAAGAGCTGACACAGTGTCATTACACAGAGCTCTTTACTGCAGGCAAAGAAGAAAAATAAATGTTACTTATTTAAAAGAGAAGTATTTGCATGTCAGTAGATGAAACTTTTTAAAGCACAAAACYCAAAGCTAATTATTAGGCAAGGTTATAAAGTACCTTGCAGTGAAGTTCCCCAAATCCTTGCTTTTCACAGTTTTTCTACAGGGCTTCTGYATACAACTGCTGCTTGCTCACAGGGCAGGCAACCTGTTGTCTGCTCTCTTGCACTTTAACAATTCTGTACAGTTCTTTGTCCACTAAAATGTCTCCCTCATTTTAAAGAGGTCCACAGATACTGGATTTTAGGCTTTAAGAGCTTTGATACTGAGAAGTAGCTTTACTTTATCTGTTATTCTCTCAGCTGCAAAATAGGACCAGTAAGTTCCTWATGCAGAATTTGCTTTATTAGTATTTACTATTCTTTTTGCAAATTATAGTAACATTTACACAGATCTGTTAATGAAGAGTCACTATGGTCAGGACCATCAGTGTTTTTTAAGAAAGTCACAAATWTTAGAGTCAACAGGTAGGCTAGGTGGAGGAAGAAACTGCTAAAGTGGATAAGCACAGTCACTTCTGACTTGTTCTTTTCACTGTGATTTTCAAGCAGAAATGCACTTTTGATCTTTACATCAGGTATGCTGTGACAGAAAACCTTCAAGCAGTCTGTGTTCTTGTTTTGAACAAAACAGAAAAGGGAAAAGGCAGGAGAACCTATGGGATCCTGTCTTCTGCATGAGTCCCCCCTTAGTGCTTGACTTTCTAACATGTAACATTAGGAATTCCTCCCAGCAAGGCCCAAAAGTAAGAGAGAAGTAGTAAGTGAAAGCAGAAACTGTGTCAGGAGGTTTCTGAGAAGAMGACTGGTACTGTCCCATCCTGGTCGCAATATCCAGGAAGTTTTACAAAGAGTGAGACAGTTCTGCATTTTGTGATCTGCGTGTTTGTGCAGAGGATAGTCTTTTCCTGGTTCCAGTTAGCTATGTTAAGAATCTCCAGATTCTTATCCATCCATCCACCCAGCCCTTCTCTCCTCATGATGTGGCTAAGCAGTTCCTTTTACCTGCTCACAGGTTTTGATTTGAGCGTTCACCATCCAGACACTGGCTTAGAGCATTTCTCCATTTTGAGTGAATGGGCAGCCTCCTCCTTYCCACAGGAATATCTCTGATTTCATTTCTTTCTTTCCCTATTCCTACTCTATCTATTGTAAGTGAAGATACAGTTCTATTCTAACGTCCCAGCACAAATCCTCCACAGAGGAAATCTGTAGCATGTACAGAATTTGCAATGTTCATTACTCTCAGCATGCTGATAAATGTAACAGCAGTGGTAGTAACAGCAAAAAGCCTTGGCAAACTGAAATGGACATTTGCATCATGTCCATTGTCTAAATGTGCAGATGTTAGGATTATATACATACATTTATAATGATAGCTTCAAAAGCGCATATCATCTGCTCMACTAGTACAGATGTGTTGCAAAATYAGTTGCCTTAAAAATGMTAGTTAGTAAATCAGGACTACTGTGCTTAGATACACTACATATTCCACATGAAATTGTGATTTATGAATCCTGAACATGCACATTTTAATCAAAGTTTATAAGGTGAATTGTATTTCCCCAACATATTTCAGTACAGTTGTGAAGGTTTTTTAATACTTTTCCTTCCTTTGCTCTAGCGAAATGTGTAAAACAGGAGAAAATGAAAAAGAAAAAAAAAAGAGTGCCAGACCTGGAAATAATACTTTCCTTTGCTAACCTTTTCTCTTGTCATTCAGATACAAAAGCTACTGCAYGACAGCATTATCCCCAGGTATTTTCCCCTCATAAAAACAGATCTAGAAGAACATGTGTCTTGGCTTAGTGGAATCTGTTTGGCAGACGGTTTAGCAACAGGGAAAAGTTTCTTAGGCCTACTGACAATCAGAAACTTACAATGAATAGCCCTGCCACGTCCAGGTCACAGTATCCTAAGGAAAAAATAAAACACAGAAATATATGAGAAAACCAGATGAAAGTTAGCAAGCAGKTAAGTTACAATTCAAAACAGGCAYAAGTTTARTARAAATGGATGATGTTTTTATAGTCCYATAGTGAAAATAAATACAGGTGTTAAGGCAAAWAGGATTTCTTGCCTTAAAAATTTAGAAATAAGCATGGCAGACTTCTATCAACAGTTGGAAATAACATTTATAGTTAGTCAGATATAGTAAATCACTCACTCTGATCCAAACAACTGAAGTAGGGAAAAAGAAAAATTAAGACTTTCAACAATCCCTTTAGGGAGGCTTTCTCATAATTATATCTCATTTAGTTTTTAAGGACATTTCTGCATAATCTATCATGCTTTTTTTTTTGCTATTTTGTTGTATATTTCTTCCTCCTCGCTCTGTGTTTATTACTTCTTATACATTATTTTTAGAGTGTGTACTGGGAGATCCTTAAATCCTATCAGTGAAATGAGATACCAATTCCCTTGAGTAGTTCACTTTTGAAATTCATTTGTAAAAGGATTATACAAAGGAGTCTTTGCAAATAACARTATCGACCATATTTTTAATCCTACAAAGACATTAGGAAGTGAAATTTTGGTCTTTTCTGGATTTGTTGATGACCAGATAATTTGAAAAAAAGTTGAAAAGGTGCCAGCCTACGTGGAGTAAGGTGAAGCCACACAAGGAATGTTACATGAAAAGAACATCTGCAAAGCTGCCCTCCAGAGGAGGGTGATGGATGTACTGCACAGCCCAGCTTTGCTTCTGTTCAGAAACTCTGCACRTCCCTTGCAGTAAGACTTTCTTGAGCTTAACCAAGAAATGATGACTAATAGGGAAGTTGTGTCCATTTTAGACTTCTCAGTGCAGACTGTAGCACCACAGGAAGTTTCTGACTTCCGCTGCAATACTTTCCTGTCTCCCCTCTTCAGCTAAGAAGCCCAGCAGTAWTTTTTTTCCAGTCAGAACAGCAATTACACAACTGTGACACTCGGGAAAGAGCTGCTTCCAGGAACTCTTCAATGCTAAAGCTCAGGACAATATATTCTTCAGGGACAATGCAAATTATTTATTGTAGTACCACTTAAGTCAGGCTGTTGCCTTCTGTGTTATTAGTTAGCAACAGAAGAATGTTCTGCTCACCAGCCTGTTGGGGTATCGGAGTAACACAGGTTGGACAGGGACTCGTGGAACAAAGGCACCTGCAGCCACAAATTAGAACTGAATGTTAGAACTAAGCTTAGCACAGCAATTAGGAGTTTTAAGTGATTTATTTCAGACATGGYACCTGGAAGGAGACATTTTTAAAAATGCACAGAGAATGAGAAGTGAATTCTTCTTCAATTTGTTGYTCAATTTCACTTATATTGTGGGTTGGGTTTTCGTTTCAGCAGCACAATTAGCAAGATGTCAGGACAGAAAAGGGTTTGGCCTCATTTCAAGGAGAAAGCTGCCTAAGATTCCTGGACTGTTCAAACTCATTTTCTGTGCATTATCTCTCCAGTGATAGGCATTAATTTCAAAGGATTAGATGCTCACAAGGCTGTCGAGTATTTCCTGACTCACTCTGTGTTCTGATCATCACAAGTGAAATGGATCTGACCACGTAATAATGTTCGGTAACTTTTCTATCCAAGACACTGTGAAACAGTTAAAGTCATGTTGCTCTCCTTTCTTAACTGAAGTGCAGCACAACAATCTGACAACCCTAAATGCCAAGAAGTACATTTCAGTGTCAAAAATGGTCTGTCTTCCTGGCTTGCTAAGCACGTTTTGTAACTTGGTTGCTAAGTCTTGTGTGGCAAAATGTACAGGAATCTAAGAYGGCCCAACTGTTAGCTGAGATAAGAGAACATCATGGAAGTAAAGTTCCCAGATCTCATAATAATCACAGTTAGGTTTCTGGGTAAATAAATTAAATGAAAGCTGTACCCAGAAAAAAATCCTAACTAACCAAATACATCATAGATATTCTGCATCCTACACAATAGCACAAACCAGAGAAGTAGCTGACTAGAGTAAAAGAGTGGGTTTAGTGCCACTGAAACCTTAATAATATAGGCATTACTGCAGTGCTATTGTGGATAATGTACCTTCACAAATACAGTCCTTACTACAACTAGCAAATTAGTATCACGTATTATTTTTCAACAGCAATGGGACCAAATCTCTTACCTTGTTTAAAAGTGATCAGGCAAGATCGGTTTGTGCAGGTGCCTTCTGGGAAAATCAGYACCTTGGATWTAAAGAGAGAGAAATATAYATACAYRCACATATATTTCRTGAAAGGATTCTACTTTAGCATCTGTTATGCACAGSCTGATGTTACACAAGCTCTGTGACYTGTTGTACTYTATTAAAAGAATATCATTACTCTTTCAAAACAAATTAATGAAGAATGCTCACAATACAAYTAACCTGGTCCATCCTGATTTGGAAACCAATGCTTCCTAAGAAAGGAGTTCTACAGAAAGGCCTGAAACTGAATTTCAGTTCAGAAATATGGTACAAAAGGCTTTAGGTGTTTCACTTGAAGTTTTAGTGGTGGTAATAATAGAATTGCTCCCCTGACAGCAGTTCTTTATTGAGCTACTGGGTATATAAATATAAGACTCTGGGCCGAAAGGAAATGCATGAGGTACTTGGGCATTTACAGGCAGAGATGCTATCAGTGAGAGGCCAGMTGTGATGAGATCACAGCTTGAGTAGCAGAGCAAAAGGCAGAGAAGGCATGTGCTGTGAGGCAGAGCTCKGAGGGCATTACACACCACAGCAGCCTCTGAACCCCAGTGACTCAGACACACCAACACCCAGAAAGTTTCTGAATTAGTGYTGGAGATRGTACATTAAGTGCAATGTGACACASTGAATCCAGCCTCCTGTGGAATTCAAGAAAGCTTTGTATTTCTCATATCACTAGGATTACAAGCAGCATTCTAAAAACACCCCAGGACAAAATCTGGTCTAGATCAAGTGTTCAGGGTGAGCTCCTACTTCAGTGTGCACAGGTCAAGGCTAGCTGTGAAGGAGGCCTCAGCAGGCCACACCCAAGGAACACTGACTGTTGGAGGGTATGAGAGAGACAGCGGCACACAGCTAATTACAGCCAGTCCTCCACTACACTTCCTGTAATCGGAAATTGTGGCCAGGGCAAAGGACTAGGAATCACCCAGTGACACCCTCAGTTGTACTGCTGACTCAGTCTTGGAGATTCCCAGATTACTTGACTCATAATCTATTTATGCCACAAAACATATCTAGGTTTCATCCCAACTGTAGCACTGGTGCAGAAGCCAATTCCCCTCTCCTCCCCATGCTGCTTTCAGCAAAATTTAGGTCTACTGGGGCATTCATCCGTAACAGTTTAGCAAATAATAAGCATCAGTGTAGTCTGTAGGCCCAGTATTAAAAAAAAAAAAAAAAAAAAAAAAAAAAAGAGAGCCAACTTCATCTTTGTACAGTTTAAGAATCCTATCCAGATGGGCACTGGTGATATTGTGATGCACAATGAACAGGGAACACGAATCCATGACAGAAGAGAAGTAAGCAGTGTATTTGTTACCTGGGGCCACTGGCCTTTTGATGAAGCCCGCTTGGTGATCTCGGCGACTGTGTTCTTCCGTGAATCAGGGTCTTGACGAGAAACTGCTACAGGCTGAAGRGAACTTAAAATTGCTGTGAAACAGATAAAAAAAAATTGTCTTATACTAGTGCTTAGAAAACACATGGGTTCAAGGCTTCCTTGTAGSAAAAACTTGTTATTCCTATACTAGGAGACAGACTCCACACAAACAACTTTCAGACTAAATTGATAAGAGTATTGTTATTCTCCTCTTTCTACAAAACAGGAATTAAGACATGGAAGACATACTCAGCCTACCAGCTGAGGAGTTTTACAGCAGATATAAACATGCAAAATTCACCCCAACACATTCTAATAATATTGCTGTTATTTTKCACTAAACATTTCCACACAATCCTAACAGAGTGACCTGACTGGGTCYCATCACAAACCACACACTCAGGAAGAAAACGCCTCATTTAATCAGAAGTCTACATCAGAATGTGTGGACCTTTGCAATAAGAAACCTGGCAAAGAWTTATCTTCTCTGTCCCAATTCTGTGCTTTTAAGCTAGAATCAATATATGATGTTAATTTCCTTTCTACAAAGACATTTTGCTATGCTGCCRGATGAGTTTAGTTCTGGGTTACTGTATAGGCAGCAGAATATCTACAGCTGATTCTAGCAATAATGCAAACAGAGATTCTTTTTGTGCCAGAAGGAGGGGAAAATAATAGAAGCATGACCCATCTGATCTTTTCCATTTTCTGCATTTCCTTTTTGAGTAACTCCTCTTTTATTCCTTCCTGGTCTTGCTCCCATTAAAAAAATCCATAACAGTGCCTGCAAGTTTAATCTTACAAATGTGGTATTTTCCAGACTGCTRTAGTTTGGGTCTGTTTTGAAATAACCTTCGCTCACATTTGTGGGCCACACTGCTAAAAGACAGCAGTYGAACAGATTTCTTGAGCTACTACTGGGAGAGTTAAAGAGAAAGCTTCCAGCCTGAGCAGCTGCAAAACATGCTTTCAGTATGAAACAAGTTCAAAATGACATTGTATTTCATACCTGAAAAGAAACAGCATAACTTCTAGACATTTTTACCAATTTAGAAAGATAACATCATAGGAATTTCACAGGATATTGTCAGTATCTTTGGAATGTAAGGACTTAAAAGTGTGCCCCTAAGTCACTTGAGGAGATAAAATTTTTGGCCCAATGTCAATATGCTGACTTGCAACATTTTTTTTTCTTTCATAAATACTTACTGCCAAATACTGGAGTTTTCAGGTTTTCTTCTCTAGACACTATGGATGGCATTCCAGTTAGAGCACAAACAATGGCATCAAAAAAGCTTGAATGAGGAGCTGCGACCAAGATTGGAGCTTCTGTTAGACTCGCTACTTTCCCTTTCACTTTAACTTGGAATCCCATCAGCATGTACCCGGTACGAGTCACGCAGGAGAGGGCTGTGTGGATTATCCTCCTTGTAAACAGAAACACAAAAATATCATCCAGCTCACAATCAGTATTTATTTTATACTTCAAAAGAAAAGCTCCTAACAGATTTCCTAGTTCTAACCATCACTGGGGCCYTGCACAGGGTAGCAATACTACTCACTAGCAGAATGGGGGGACTAAAGGGGAAATAGGGAAGGGGACATCACCTTTTCCTGATGAAAGGCAATGTACAGCACCTTGTGAAACTCTCCTCCCAGGTGCACTATTTCTCATGCCATATTTTATAGCATTGGAGTATAACACCATTGCGAGGGGAGTAATTTGCAGATTCATGTCCTTTCTGTAAGGATTTACCTAATACTGCCTGACTGATAATGTTCTTTTACCATCAGTTTTRAACAAGATTAAATGACAATGTTCCCTTTCTGGAAGACATTCCCACAGTAGGGGACGTGTTCTTTTCATGGGACTCTACGTAACCTTTTGGTCTTGTTAGAATTCACCTCCTGTGTCTCCTCCTCCTCCTGCAGCRGCAGTGCATCGTGGCTAGAAGGGAACTTCAGTACTTTGAGGTCAGAAGGGAGTGACTGAAACCCAGAACCCACAGAGGCAGCTGTGAAATACCACTTCAAGGGCAATGCAGCTGAGAGAGGAACTGTCAGAGCTAATTTTGTCATAGAATCACAGAATAGCAGAAATGACAAAGGCTASGCAGGAGCTCAGCCTACACAATGTTACCAAATACTTGCTAATGATCTTCTTTTCTCAGACWTTCCTATTAGTACTATTATTGAAGTAAGCCCTGGCTTACAAAAAGGCTATAAATATTTTTCTACAGTGTTTTTTTTTATTTTTAGCCTTAAGACAACTGAAAATCTACCTATTTAAAAAGCCCCACTATTGTTGTAAAATGCACTCATAAAAAAGTTGCTTCATCTCAATGGGTAAAACGAAGATGTCACTGAGGAATCTTCCTTAATCAAAAGGAGGAGTAAAAAGGAAAAAAAAAGCTTTAGATCCTGGCTTTGTGTTATTAGAGGAAAAAAAAAAAAGTTTAGTTTTCACAAATATTGGTCACTTTTTTACCTTCTCCATCCTTTTAGWGGCAGAAATCCTCTTCCAGGCTGACGAAAAGTTGCAATTGATGCAAACAGCCAAGCTAGCAGTAAAATCACTAAGAGGCATATGACACGGAGGGGGAGCAAAATAATGCCCTGCAGGACAGACTGGAAAAAGAGAKGTGAAAAACGTTAAGAATTAGTAGCAACAGAGATGACATGGCAATCGGTACAGTCACTTTACAAGGATTTTAAAATACTAACATTCGTGCTTTGTGATTTAGTAAGGAAAGTTTTAATGATTCCAGTGCTCTTATGGGACATCACTCATGGTATTGAATTTTCACTTTTGACTTCCCATTTCAGGTAGAACTGGAATATCTGAGTATTTTAAGTTTGTGGCTTGGATGTAGTTAGACATAGAGSGTAAACTCAGTTTGCTGGCTCCAGTTTATATTTGGTCCTGGTCTGCAGCACACAAGCAGCTCGATGAGTCTGCCYAGCTGACACATATTGCCACTACAGACCTTTCTATCACTAGCTGCCTATCTAGAAGTCAAGTGGAATCATTAAAAYGACTAATTGTACTCTTGCCCTTTCAAATGACAAATCTTGTGTTGAGTCACAATMACCCTGCAAGTGATCCTTACTACTGCTTCAGGAGTTGTGCACACACAACACAACGTCATTTCCCCTAGTTGGGACTTAAGTAAAATGGAGTTTTTCACTGCCTTGATTGCAAATAATCCTCAAACATCATCCCCAGCCCTCCCAAAGGAATCKTTAGCTTGCCTATTTCCATGCACAGCTCCAGGAAGCAGGTGTATTGGCACAATGCTGTATCACAGGGCAGGGCAGGAAGAAATTCCTAATTGCTTTGCCCCAGCATATGAGGRTTGACTTTTATAGTGCAAGGCTGATATTTATGGTGCAACAAGGACTGTGCAGGCTGAGCAAGGCCAGGGCTGGGAGGCAGGTGAGCTGTGTTAGCAGGTGTGAGCCAGAGCCCAGCATTCTTGGGAAACCATTAAAAGTTCAATTCCCTTTGGTGCCTAATCCAGCTCAGCTGCCACTCACTGATGAGGATCAGTTCGTGTGCAAACCAATGCACAAAACAAAACACACCCCAAAACAACTGTAATAGTGATTTTTAAAAATTTATCTGAGCTGTTTCTACAAGTCCCTCAAAACTTATCTGAGTGGTGTCACTGGTCACAGACTGACAGCTCCACTGGCTCAGGTGTACAGAAGTTACTGAAGGATAGTTAACTTATACTTGTTTAACTTATACTTGTTTAACTTATACTTGGGAGCTTGCTACATTCTATGCTTTACTATTTTTTATTGAAATCTACAACTGAACAACAGTGTTCCTCTCTTGAAATGAACCTTTCTAGTCAACTCTTTCACAATGGCCTCTTACTGTACAGAAAAAGCAAGACTTTGTAAGTCAGTTTTACAAAGTAGTTCGCAACTTCCTAGAGTTGTGATTATTAACAACGCAGTGGTTTTTAATTTGCCTCTTTTCTTTAAAAAGGAACAAGTGTGAGACATTTGAAATTAAGCATCTTAGTGTATAATTTATCCAAATTTTGATAAAATCAGTTGTTTCTAATTTTCACCAACACAGTCCTTTCCCTCTGCATCAAATCCCCTCCACCTTCATGTARTATCCCCTTACCATCCTCTTGTCACTATTCAGGAGAGGCTCTGCCATCTGGCTCTAAACCCTCTAACATTGATGAGAATTAAGATGAATTTGGGGCCTTCAGGACTTGATTCTGTGTTACCACAGGCACAGTGACAACAGACCAAACATAATAGTGGGTACACAGAGTAAATTAAGATAAGTGTGATAAGCAGGTACACTGTGTTGATGTTTATGTTCTGCAAGCACTGCCAKACAATATGTTTCCAGGAGAGATCTGAACACTTAGGTCTGATTATTTCTTGCTTTTACRTAACAATTTTGTATAACTAGCTACAAAATTTTAACCAAAACTTCATGGAYAACAGGATAAGGACTGCTCTGGATCACAGAAATGAGAATGACAGGTTTGGCCCTGGAAATCTATGTTCCCACTCACTCTGGTGCTAGTTGTGGTAAAAGTGAAAAAAATTAAGTAGAAAGACAAACCAACCAAGATACCATCCTTGTCTCCCAAAATTAGCAGTGGGGTTTTTTTTTTTCCCTCTAGATGCATCCTCTCTTACTATGATCTACAGTTCAGGTCAACATTTCAGCTGTGTTCAGTTATCCAAAATGGGTAGCATAAGCATAAATYGCTGTGGTTTGACTTAAAATAACATTTTTCTTTATGAAAAAAAAGAATATATATGTACTGACCTAAAATGAAAAAAAAAGGATGCAATAGTAAAAGCAAAACAATCCCTTCACCAAAACTTCAATAAATTCATCAATCTATTTTAGGCAGATGCACAGGTGGTACTGACTTGCTGATGCAAGCTGTTGGCTTTCTAGGTCACTGTGTAATGAGCAGAGTTGGTTTCTGCTCCATCAGCTGCAGAGCAGGGGAAAAAARGGACAGAAAAGAGAAAGGTCAAGGTGGACTAGAAAAGGGGAAGTATAGGAAAAAAACATACAGAAGACAAAATTTAGTAACTGGTGAGTACAATCAACATCAATGTACAGCAATGACCAAGATAGAATTATTCTGAGTCATCCTGTTTTGGTTTGATCCAAAGAACTTTTCCGCACATACTGAATCACCCATATACTTTCTGTTTACTGGGTCTGCAGTAACTGCATGTCCTGTCACTGCAGTAGTCCTGACAGTCCATGTTCCACCTCCCATAGCTGACTGACCCTTGATCACTACATGAAATTACAGTTCCATTGATGGCAGGAACCTGGGAASTGGAAAAGCAGGTCAGAAAGCCACAGAACTCCATTTGAAATTTTGTTCAACTTCAGCTGCTGTCAGGTTATTTAGGAAGTAGCAGCAGAGCRGGCTGGGGACCAGAAAGAAGCCCAAATCCCACTGAAATACTTTGACAAGTAACACTGTGACCAGAGGGACTGTCCCCCACAGCAGTACACACAGAGCAAGAAGGTGTCCCATGAGCATCCAGAGGATGTCACCACTCTGCCAGGCTGTCCAGCTGCTTGCTTCCAAGCATGAGGTTAAAAATATGTAGTTCACCATTGTAGCAGTCCACTGAGCATCTCTTCTGAGTAAACTGGAATCCAGTAATGACTTCACCTGAATTTGTGCTTTGCATTTGCAGTTCAGAAGTTGTAATGGCAAGTGAGCAATCAGGAACAAAAGAACCAGAAGTAAAACCCAGGAAAAATCTCAACAATGAACTGCAGCCAACTTTAGTCAGAAGATGGAAAACAGAAGTATTTGACAGCTGTTTTAAAATCTTGTTTGGCACATGAGGATGTTTAGCACAGCACAACTGATCCTTGCTTTGCACATTCTTAAGAAAAGACAAAAATCTCATTGGCTTGTAGGCTATTAGCAAGGACTGGCAAGAAATTGTAAAATCTTCTCACTCTACTTTTCAGTCTGGCTGTTTTTATRAGTGAAGCTGAATGAAATGTTAACAGCTTCCCTGTCTCATTTTCACGTTCCRTTCATCAGACACACAGCAGCCTTTACATTCAAGGTCACCTACACATGGAAATCCTGCTGTGGACTCCCAAAGAGGTTTTGAAATTGTATGTTTTCATTGGTGTATGTTAAAGGAATAGCACAGAATGGGGAGACATAACGAAACTATCCTTTAGCATGCAAGGATGGAGGAACACTACGCTTGACACAAATGGAAAGAGAAGGCAGACTTCCCTTTTCTGAAGTTTATAGTAAACACTGTCTGGTAAGGCCCTGATTCCCAGCAAGTCCGACTGGCAACGCTGAGCAAGAGAGGAGCTGGGGTTTACAGGACAAAGCAGTCAGCAGGAAGTATCCTAGTCCTTATCACCTTAGGGGGAAAGGAACACAAGGGACAACACAYGATATGAAAAGGTTCTTTCTCATGTTTTCCTGCTTTACAGCTCTGTGATTGTTTTGCTCCTCAGCTCACCAGCACCAGGCCCCAGCCCAGATGGGTGCTTTTCCTTCCAGGTGTCTTATGGAGTTTAGTATGAAAAGGATCTTGTTTTAAGACACATCATGTCTTCCAACCCTTCTTCCTGAAGCAAAAAGCAGGATATATTGATTATAGCTAAAATGRTAATAGTAACTTAAAAATGCAAGCTTTTATAGCCTGTGCATCCTCCAGAAAGGACAGCCAGCACAGAAAGCTGTCCATTTCCGGAAGCTCATTAAGAAAGTGGTTTCTTCAGGGTTCATGCCTAAAGCTACTGATTCATATGCACTTGAAATGTCTTCCAGGCTACTAATAAAACATGGGGGACAAAAGGATTTGAAATTGTTTACCACATTTCCTCTACCCAGCTACCTTCACAGCAAACATTGTTTATAACTTGGGGAAGATGTACATGAAATAYAAAATATTTAGTGTACATCAGCTTCAGACATTATAATAATCAGCAGAAAATGCTAATTTCAACTACACACTGATGTCCTCATGGTCCTCACTCATATGTCAGCTGATGTTTGGTTCATCAGCTAATTTTTAAAGAATGTTTTTAAAATTCAAAGCTGTTTTAGTTGCATGGTATCCTGTAAGTCTTGTGTGTGCTTGTATACAAGTCATACTGATAACAGCACTCAGCTCCGAGGTCTAAGTCTATTCATTCAGTGATACCAGTCAGTAACCCAGTGAACTACAGGGTACCATTTTTTGTTGTACACCCTGCAATAAACATGGAACCAAGAGATTCACACCCCACTCCCKAACACAGGCTTAAAATCAGCCTAAAGCGAGTTAAGCATCGGAAATAGCATGACTGAAAAAGTTATCTTCTGTTTTAGCTTTTCATATCAGAGAGAAGTAATTTTCATTCCAGAGCAAAGGCATCTGACACAATAGATGGATAGGTAGTATTTYGTTCTTGAAACAGGACTCCCGTTTTCTCTAGGAGTGATGTGTTATCAGCAACGATTGCRCAAATATTTCCAAACTCTTGTTTCAAATTTTGTGTTAAAAGTTTTAAGTTTGAAGTCACTAAGCCTCTGTTTTGTGCACTGAGCAAGCATGCAGCTTGTGGAAACTGAAGAATTTAATTSCTAAAAACAGTGACTTTTTAATGCTGACCACCCTTTGCATCTTTGACCGTTTACATAGCTTGTTAGTGTATCTGCTCTCTATCACTAGATTAGATCAGAACGCAAACCATGCCGTCCAGGGGAAGGAAATGTTCTCACTGGAAGGCTGTTCCCGGCAAAGCCAGATGTGGAACAGAGTGGGTGGTGATCCGCTCCGCGGCGGGCTCTGCGCGGGGGCACGGGCGGTGCTGGGCAGGCCGGACCCGCAGCCCCGGCTGCCGGCGGCACTTTCAAACCTCGACCGCTCACACGGCGCTCTGCCCCGGCAAGGGGGGCTCGAAAGCGAGCAGTGCCCGCAGCCCGCACTGCTGACAGCCCCGCGGGGGCTCGGACAGCGCCGGCAGAGCCGCGCCCGGGCCGTGCCGTGCTGTGCTGTGCCCGGGGGTGCCGCGCCCGCCCCGCCGCGCTCCCGCCCGCTCCCGCGCGCATCCCAGCCCCGGGCAGCCCAGCCCGGCCCGGCCCGGCCGCCTCTCCCGCCCGCTCTCCAGCCTTACCCGCAGCTTGTCGCCGGCGCTGAGGCGGCCCGGGTGCACGAAGGGGTTGAGCACGGTGGGCGGGCTGAAGGAGTGCTGCCTGGGCAGCGGCAGCACCCGCGGCGCCATCGCTATCCCCGGCGGCTGCGCATGAGCCGGCAGCGGGGCCCGGGGCCAGCGGCTCCGGCCGGCCCTGCCCACCGCGGCAGCCCCGCCTCGGGCAGGTGAAGGCGGGCGGGCCTGCGCCGGCCCCGCCGCGGGGTTGCTGAGGAGCAGCGGCTGAGGCGGGTAGTGTAGGTACCGAGTACCCCGTCCCCGCAGCGCTGTCCATGCCCTTCCCGTGTCCTGCCCCCGCTGTCAGGGCCGTGTGCGCGCTGCGGGCACCGCAGCTGAGCCTCGTTCGCTGGGGGGGAGCGCAGGACCATGGTTATGAGCACTGGCAGCGGCCGGAGCCGTTATCTGACAGAGGAGAGGGGCAAGCGCGGCCAGGGCTCACGGCAGAGGTCGTTTCTAGGAGAATGGTGCGTTTTACCACTGCTTTAAGGCTGGTACAGAGATTCTGGGCTTGAGCACGTGAGGTGTACAGATCCACCGCAGCCTTGCTTCGCGTGCTGGATGCCCAAGGATCCCTTCCCGCACCTCTGCCCTCAGGGATGCGCCACGGGCAGCTCTGCAGGGCTKGCGGTGCGGTGAAACACCATCCTCCGGCACCTTCTGCCGGCCAGCCTGGCGGTGTAAGTGCCRCTGCTGCTGGTTTCAACTCACAAGKMAGTTCCACCCTGACCAAATTTAGKWAATASACTTTTGCGTTCCCATGAAAATCCCCCCCTGGTGGGGCTGAGCCGCCAGTGTGTCCGTGCAGGGAGCGCTGGGCTCAAGCCGCTGACCTCTTGTGTGATACTGGTTCAAACACTTTGTTCTGTTATTGTGCTTTTCCATTTCTACTTCACACGAAAATACTGGTGCTTCCTTGCACAACATTATGTTGCCGGGTTGTTCATGTTGCTGTAATGAAAATGATGATAAACCTAGTTCAGTTCACACTTTGACGTCTCTGCGTCCACAAAGATACCATCAGCATTCATAAAAACTAATTATTATAAAATTATTACTTGTGTTTTGCAACTGTAGGTGCTTACGGAGTAGTTATAATGATCTATTTGGGCTAACTGAACCCTGCCTATAATGGAAGCTCGATGAGTGTAGGATTTCCCTTGGCTGGTTTCCAGGATTTCCCTGTGATTGCCAGTCCTTGAAACCAGCACTGGCCTCTGAAAATCTGRGAGCTGTGAATGAACCAGATCAGCACAATCATCGCAGAAAGTAAGGCTGGGGGAGCTCTAGAGGAGAAAGATCAATTCCACCTCCATCTCTCTTAGCAGATGACTTTACAAGCTCTTTTAAAAACCCTATGACTTCTCTAGCTGATCTTTCAGCACTGCTCTGTAATGTCTTGAAATGTTTTTTTTTTTTTCTGTGTCAGACAAATATCTCTCATTGCAGATGATATCCATCCTCAATGGATGCAAGTACTTTCAATTCCMTTTCCTCTCTGCAGCTAGTTTTTGCACACTCGTGCAGTGTTATGATTTTCTTAGGTTTTCACCAGACTAATGTTTCCAGATTTTCCCTCCCAGGTCCGTTTCTAGACATCAGAGCATTCTTAAAGCTTTCCTCTGACTTTTCCCCAGTGAGTCAAAATCTTTCTTGAGGTACCCAAACTGGAAATACTACTGCTAGGAGGACTGACCAGTGAACTGAGTGGGCAGGAAGGATTAATTTGTGTCTGACAAATTATATTATTGTATCACTGTATAAGTGATACAATGGGTGTGCTTTCTTTGTCACTAGCCTGATCCTATGACTCACGCTGTGGCTTTGCGGATATGATACTTTTCATATGTAAATGAATGTTTCTGGTGACTTGTACATTTGTTAAAAACAATAATATTGATTATAAACTTTTTACTCTTCTAAGGCTGATTAGCCATAGCACCATTTAAAAGTCTTAACATCATAAGYACCCAAGCACAATGCAAAAAAACCCTTTAATGTTCAGAACGTGTGAGAAGGTGCATATGTAATCCTTTGGCTAAATTGGAGTCAGCATCTCTTTTGAGTATTAATTCCTTTTTAGTCTATGAATCTATGGTAAATTGAATCTTAGTCAATGGACCACCAACATAAAACACCTCCAAGCTTTTGCAAAATTGACATCCAAAATCTTGCTTTCACCACAAGCTTTATATGGTGCTAAAGAGTGGACATCAAGGGAATGGTAGCATTAGCTTGCTACTCATTATTTTTCTAGGTTGAAGCTACAGCTTTAGTTCTGCAGGTCATTAGGAAATGCATGTTTTTTTCTGAAGAGCTTACCCTATACCTTGGTTCTTCCTAGACACTGTAGAAAAGTGGCTCTGGAACAGGTATAACTTCTATGTACAATCCCAATGAATCATATCAGTGATACATGAAAACCCAGTATACATGTACTTGTAAGACAGGAATTATTTTCTCTGATAGACAGCTTTTTTAAGTGTACGCAGCTTTATAGTTTTTGATATAAATTATATATGTACAGTGTAAAATGTACTAATACTAAGATATTTGCCTTGTCATAGCTACCTTTGGACAGTTTATTCTCTTCCTCATTTTTATAAAAATATACTCCAGCTTCTTACCATAAAGAATTTAATGAAGCTGTAGTAGCTTCAAAGTCGTTCCAATATATATCAATTCTATAAAATATGCGGTAGGCAAAAGCTTATACTGCAGAATATGAAATATTTGCAAACAATTYTTTAAACTCTTCTGTTAGTAATTCCTAATCTGAACCAGAGACTAAAATAAGTTGCCCTTTTTAGCATTTATCTGTTTAATTATTTTGATCAGGGCTATTGTTTTGCCTTTATAAAACGTGTACAAAGACATGTTTGGTACAGAAATTGAAAAGCTCAGGTTTGACCTGCTCACTGCTGGTGTCTGACAAAAATCTGCCATCTCCTGGCCCAGCCGTGTAACACTGCTGCACACAGCAGTTGGGGAGCATCTGTTCACTGCTTGTAAGGAAAACAACTCCTCTCAAGGACTACCCAAAAACCTTAATTCAAAGGGCCATTCTGATTTTCCAATTTCTTTCTGTGGTGCTAAATGTGAACTACTTGTGAAAAATGGGTATGAGGACAGCAGTAGATGGCCATCTGTTTCTGTTGTCAAAGTAACAACTTCTTTCTTTCTTTCCTTCTTTCCAGGTCCCCTAATGCTGGTTCAGTTTGTGCCTCTCATGTGCAATAATGCCTACTAACACCTTCTAAATGCCCATCTGGGCACAGCTGACAGCACATTCTCTCCAGAGATCAGGGCAGCCAAAAAGTGTAATAAAAGTCACATGAGGTTTGTCTTTCTCTGCTGGGGACAGTCTTCCAATGATGTCTGGGTAAGCTGTGTCATATCCCTTATATTGATGCACATAAGGTTTGATGCAGTGTTKGCTTGGTAAGTTTTCAAATGTTTCTCTTGAGAGTTGTTTCTAGCAGTTTTAATCAAAGTTGCTGTCYCCAATGTGTTAATCATGCCAGCCCCTAAGTGCAGGTAAAATAGTCCTAGTGTGCTGCACCAAAGTGGAAAACTTCATGCTGAAAGTTCCCTGAAGCTGCTTCTGCTGAATTCCTTACTCTTCGTATTGCTTAATGGCCATAAGGCAAATTAATCAGAGTCAAGAACCTAATCCTAATCAGAGGCAAGAACCTAATCCCTTTATTGAGCAAGTCATACCTGATAATGACCTCTGCAGAGGGAGGCACTGAGTAAATGCTTAGCTTGTGTGGTGTTAGTCAGTGGAGTAGGTAGGACTTTGTTAGATTTTTGGTCCTAGACAGGCTGATAGGTTGCTGAGCCAGCTCTGTTAACAACTTAAAAAAAAAAAAAAGAATTGGCTCTTGCTGATGCTGAGTGAAAATAGAGGTAGTGTTACCTCAGGGAGTCCATTGGGTATGCCCCCTTGGAGAATCCTCCTTCCTCACCTGAGCTGGCTGTACAACTAGACAACTTGACAAGAATTTCTCTTCTGTTCCTCTGGGTAAAGAAAGCTCTAGRCTGATGATGGGGCATCTCCAAATCCCAGAGCTCTCAAACTGGCACCTTCCCTGATTATTGAATTCACTTGAAAACAAAAGAAAAAAGTAGATTTACAAGAAAAAGAGAGACTCCAGTGATTTGTGTGAGAATGAGATATAAAATTAACAGTTGGGTTTTTTTTCCTTTGAACTGAACCCAGGAGCCTCAGTAAAGTTTACCCTATTTAAAACATTAATTAGGAAGCTGACTGTACATAAAGATAAAACAGATCTCTTAAAAAAGTCTCTAGGGACTCCAAAAAACCCAGGTTTGTCTACATGAGGCAAAAGAATTTTAATTAGCAGCAACTGAATTGAAGTGAACTGATATGAGCAACAAAAAGAGAATTTATCCCACAATGTATTCAGAGAACATAATTGAATGTTCATTAGCTAAGAGTTATATACTGACTGTTAATGAGCAGAAATGAATATGCATTATTTCTTATTAAGCTGGAAATGTATGGAACTAATTGCATTTAAATATAGTGGCTAYAAAGCTGTGTTTATTAACAGTCACTACTAAGAAGAGGAAAGACAGGTGAATTTATATTCTTTACTGCAGCATCATTTTAAATATTTATTATGCTAAGTGATAATAATACACAGCTTTTCAGGGAAATGGTTATTATGTTGTGCTAGTAGGACTCGGTGATACCTTCATTTGGATAGGATTTATGCTTTATTTATTTTAAATTAGGGAAAGCAGCACAAACAAACAGAAGCTCACAGATTCCTCTAAGACAGTGTTATTATTGCTTCTCAGGATGAGGGTCCTCTGTTACTCATGATCATATGACACTTGGCTTCATGAAAGAATTCCTTGATAATAATCTCAGGAGAGAGTTTTGGTAAKGTTTCTTTGTTGCAGATATACTGGAGAAAGCCATCTTTGTTATTAGGTGTGGTGACAGAAAACCAGAATCAATTTGTATTGACCCACTGGGTGTGCTGTGCACGCAGCCAGGAGGGGCCGTGCCTGCCTGGGAAAGCCGGGGCCAGGTCCTGGGCTGAGCCTGAGAGGAAACTGSTGGGGCATGGTGGGCACTCTCTCTGATGAGGAGCACAGGAAAGT